GCTTTGCATCACTGATGTGTTCAAATTGTTTTTTAGAGGTTATCGCGCTTAGAAGAGGAGGAGAAGAATCTTATTGAAACCGCCAAGAGAAAATTCTTTGCAGAAGTACTCAATGCAGTTCGTGAATTCCAGTTGCAAATTCAGGCAACTCAAAAACGCCGTAGACAAAGGAATGATGGTGTGCAGGTATGATATCACTTACATATATATTATGAAGTATCCTTAAAATATCATCAAAGTATCAAACTTTGAAAAGATATCTTGTTTCTAAATTACATATTTAACAGGCATGGCATGGGAGACAAAGACAACGTGCAACCCGTGCTGAAAAGTTGAGGCTAATGGCCCTTAAATCCGATGATCAAGAGGCTTACATGAAACTAGTAAAGGAGAGTAAGAATGAAAGACTAACCACTCTTCTAGAGGAGACTAACAAACTCCTTGCTAATTTGGGAGCTGCTGTTCAGCGTCAGAAAGATGCTAAACTTCCAGACGGCATTGATCTACTGAAAGACTCAGAATCTGACTTGTCTGAACTTGATGCTCCAAGAAATGAATCGTTACAGGATTTGCTTCCTGACCAGGATCTTGATATCGCTGAGTCTGACAATAATGATGACTCTAATGATTTACTAGAGGGACAGAGGCAGTATAACTCAGCTATCCATTCAATACAAGAGAAGGTAATGTTGATCTTTATAATACATTTAGTAGCAGTACGGTTAATCGTTTACACAACTGTTATCTCAGAGACCAACGGATTTAAGTAGCGATATATACTTTTAACAGGTGTCGGAGCAGCCCTCTCTTCTACAAGGTGGGGAACTACGATCCTACCAATTAGAAGGGCTCCAATGGATGGTTTCTCTATTCAACAATAACCTTAATGGGATTTTAGCGGATGAGATGGGTCTGGGAAAAACTATTCAAACAATTTCCCTGATTGCGTATCTTCTGGAGAATAAAGGTGTGCCTGGGCCTTATCTGATAGTCGCTCCCAAAGCTGTGCTACCAAACTGGGTAAACGAGTTTGCAACATGGGTACCAAGGTATGTTTCAAACAATCTTTCTTTTGGTGCTGGGCATTTGCACCGGTATGAATGTTATGTCTGAAAATTAGCCATTCTATTTTTTGGCAGCATTGCAGCTTTTCTTTATGATGGACGTTTAGAGGAAAGAAAGGCAATAAGGGAAAAGATTTCAGGCGAAGGAAAATTTAACGTGTTGATAACGCACTATGATCTTATCATGAGAGATAAAGCATTTTTGAAGAAAATTGACTGGTACTACATGATAGTTGATGAAGGACATCGGCTGAAGAACCATGAATCTGCTCTCGCAAAGACTCTATTAACAGGGTACATTTCTACCCTAATTTGTCTGAAGTGAATGATGTTAGCTGACTAATTTGTTTATGGCTACTCTAACTTATCCCCCCAAAAATGCTGAGGAATTTTAGTATGTTTCCTAACAAATCTGATCCTGGATGCAGCTATCGTATAAAACGCAGACTTCTGTTAACCGGGACACCCATACAGAATAGCCTTCAAGAACTATGGTCATTGCTTAACTTTCTCCTTCCTCACATCTTTAACTCGGTTCAGAACTTCGAGGAATGGTTTAATGCTCCTTTTGCTGATCGTGCTAATGTCAGTCTTACCGATGAAGAGGAGCTGTTGATAATCCACCGTCTGCATCATGTGGGTTCTGCAGCTATTTTTCCTTCACAATCTTACCAAATTTTTGTATGCAGTGTTTCAACGTTATTCACTCTGTCCCTTGCAGGTTATAAGGCCGTTTATACTGAGAAGGAAAAAGGACGAAGTAGAGAAATTCCTTCCTGGTAAGACACAGGTCATATTGAAGTGTGATATGTCAGCGTGGCAGAAAGTGTATTACAAACAAGTTACAGACATGGGCAGGGTTGGCCTTCAAACAGGTTTGTAGCTCTATTTATAGTCTCCCCAAAAATTTGCACTCATCTTTAAGGTAAAGAAAATGAATCAGAAAGTGAAGCTGATTTGATGCAAACGTAATCGTCATGTGCAGGATCTGGGAAATCAAAGAGTCTGCAAAATCTAACGATGCAGTTACGAAAGTGTTGTAACCATCCCTATCTATTTGTTGGAGGAGACTACAACATGTGGAAGAAACCAGAGATTGTGAGAGCTTCAGGGAAATTTGAGCTCCTTGATCGTCTCCTTCCAAAACTGCGCAAGGCCGGACATAGAATTCTTCTTTTCTCCCAAATGACCCGTCTCATTGATGTTCTCGAGATTTATCTGACACTTAATGATTTTAAGTACCTCAGGCTCGATGGTACCACAAAGACAGATCAAAGAGGGCTTTTACTGAAGCAATTCAACGAGCCAGACTCTCCCTACTTCATGTTTCTTCTGAGCACGCGTGCGGGAGGTCTCGGTTTGAACTTGCAAACTGCAGACACTGTTATTATCTTTGACAGTGATTGGAACCCACAAATGGACCAACAGGCCGAAGATCGCGCCCATCGCATAGGGCAGAAGAAGGAAGTCAGAGTGTTTGTTTTAGTTAGCGTTGGCTCCATTGAAGAAGTAATATTGGAGCGTGCAAAACAAAAGATGGGCATTGATGCCAAAGTCATACAAGCTGGACTTTTCAACACAACTTCCACTGGTAAGTAAACAAAAATGTGATACATTTATTGTGATGGTAAATCTCTTGATGTGCGTTTTGCGATTATGATAATAACAGCACAAGACAGAAGAGAGATGCTTGAAGAGATTATGCGCAAAGGAACAAGCTCACTCGGGAATGATGTCCCCAGTGAGAGAGAAATAAACCGGCTTGCGGCTCGTAGTGAAGATGAATTCTGGATGTTTGAGAGAATGGATGAGGAGAGACGAAGGAAGGAGAATTACAGAGCCCGTCTGATGCAAGAACAGGAAGTCCCTGAGTGGGCATACACTACGCAGACCCAAGATGACAAGTCGAACAGCTCAAAATACCATTTTGGGAGTGTCACAGGTAAGCGAAAACGTAAAGAAATCGTTTATAGCGACTCACTAAGCGAGGTACAGTGGATGAAAGCCGTGGAGAGCGGTGAAGACCTGTCAAAATTCTCTATTAAACAGAGGAGAGAGGAGAACGCAAGCAAGACAAAAACATCAACGATTAAAAAAGCGATAGAACCTATCCAAATGGTGAGTGATGGGACGAGCGAGGAGGAGGAAGAAGAGGAGGAAGAAGAAAGAGCAAAGGTGATGAGTGGGAAACAGAGAGTAGACAAGTCTGAAGAAGAAGAAGAAGAAGGTGAAGAAGAGAATGGTGTAAAGGGAATATTTAAGTGGAATACTACTCATAAGAAGAAAAGGTCGAGATACTCTTTTACGTGTTCTTCATCTGACTCTAGAGCTCAAAGTTCCAATGGAAGTAGAAGACACTGAGAAAGATAAGGTGAGATCTGAGTTGAGTTTGGCCTCTTCTTCTACGTGCCTGTGTGTGTGTTTTAGAAGTGTTTAGATGTTCTTCTTGCCAATGTAACTTATGCCAATTTAATATGTAATAGCTTTATTGGTCTCGGGTTAAGTTTAGTTTTCTTTTTTGAATTTTTTTTTTCAAGTTATTACCAAGTTATTTTCTTATGTAGGACGATTCTAGATTCGGGATTGAAAACCCTTTCCATTCCATCAAAAAGAAAACATATGTAATATTTTGTTCACAAGGACTAAGAAACCAATTCATTGATTGTAAATTTAGGCTTGCCAAAATAAAATTTCATATCCCCATCAATGTTCAACATGTTGTGAAGAAACTTTTGTAATCAAATCCCAACTCTCAAGGTTTTTCTGAAATAAGAATTTTTGTTTGAGTGAGATTCTGCGTTCGATATGGCAACTCTTGAAGATTCTTTGCTCGCAGACCTTGATGAGTTATCTGACGATGAAACCGAGATCAAAGAGAATGATGCTCAGAAGGAGGAAGAAGAAGAAGAAGACAAGATTATTGTTAATACCCTTAACTACGATGATCTTTCTAAGCTCCAGAAAAGTAGGAGATTCTCTGATATTATGCAGAAAGTTGAAGAGGTTCTAGATTCTGAATACAAGATAATTGCCGATTGCAATAAGCTCTTAGTTGACATCGACAAGGAAATTGCTATGATCCACAAGTTTATCCGTCAAAATTACAGACTTAAATTCCGAGAGCTGGAATTGCTTGTACATGACGCAATCGATTATGCTCGTGTTGTTAAAAGAATCGGCAATGAGATGAATTTAGCCCTAGTTGATCTAAAAGGTCTTCTTCCCTCGGGTATGAGGATAGCTATTTTGCTTGTTGCTTCAACAACAAACAGAGAGCCACTTCAATGAGATGTTATAGAGAAGACGATAGAGGCGTGCGATCGAGCCATTGATCTTGATTCTTCGAGGAAGAAAGTCTCTGACTTTGTCGAAATTAAAACGAGATTCATCGCACCGAATCTATCTGCTATCGTCGGGACTAAAATTGCAGCCAAGATCATGGTAAGTGTTGGAGGTTTATCAGAACTTGCTAACTTGACTCTTACTCAACTACTAGTAGTTGGCCAGAAGAGGAAGAAGAGTTTTGTAGGGACTCTTGTGGAATGTTTGGAAAAAACAGAGATTGTCCTAAACACGCCTCCGGATTTTCGGTCTGATGCCTGTGAGCTCTTGGCTGCAAAATTGACTTTAGCTGCAAGTGTAGACCTTACTAGAGGAGACTCATCAGGGACAAAAGGAAAAGCTATTAGAGATGAGATTCTTGAGGAGATTAAAAAGTGGCAAGAACTTAAGCGTGTGACTGAAGAGAGTGGTGAAGATAGCTCTGAAGATGAAGACTACGAAATCGACATGTACCGAAGACTAGACAGGACTCAAATCCCTCACTTTTATGAGTTTGGGACACCCTCCAAAAGATCAAGACATGATTGGTTTTAAGATATCTGTTTCCCAAGTTTCGAAAACTGAATATTCTCGACCAAAGTATTCAGTTGGTGGTTAACCTTAAATTGGTACAAGCTGTACCGTACTATGACAGAATCAATCAAAGTACAGTGAACTATTTGGAATATTGTTAATGATGATCATTACTACCTTATAAAAAGAGTCTAATTTAAAGAACTAACTCACATGAGTCTACTTCTCTGCTAACGACTGCTTTCTTTCTTCTGTCTTCAAAACTTCACAAATTAGTAGACTTTGGTGAGCACTCTACAGAGGTAACTGCGTATCACTGGGATTGTTCGCTGCACCAGTTGGTTCTTCCTGCGTTTAATCGGGAATGAACAAACATATATTAAAAAAAAAACAGTTCATCCATACTTCATAACAGAAGCAATTAACTTATCACCGGAAAAAGGACAGAATGTCATATGAATTTGTATAAAGAAGCAAAATTTGCATAAAAGAAAACTAACTGATGAAGCTGCTAGGTATCAGACTAACTCATCTGAAGGAAGCCTTGAGCAGGAATGAGTTTACGAGTAAACTGCAGAAGTGAAGATTCCTGGTACAAATGTTACAGGAATGAGTTTTACCGGTTAGTGTCTGACCTTGGTTTCTCAATGGGGAAGCTTAGTAATGAGCTTAGCTATGGTGAACCATCCACATATTCAATGAACAAAATCACTTGATAGTTGTTATAATCTTTAGAAAACGCAATCAGATGGACTTGAATAACAAGCAGTTTCCAGAATTTAAAGACTTGATGAAGTCAAAACGATGTAGTCAAAAAGCATTTCCATAATCTGATCTCAAAATGTCAATGCCCATCACATCATCAACATCTCGAGCTCTAACCTCAGAATTCGATCTGTGGGCCAGTTTCAATCGATCTTTCACGATACCAAACACTAACAATTGAAACCTTTGGAGATTACCTATCCTTATTTTTAGGGATGGAGGAAGAAAGTGAGGCGGAGCAATTCAGTGACGAAGCGAGCCGGAGCAATTCAGAATAGCCGGCGTTCTCTTCTCCGGCGAACCAGAGAAGGGACGATGACTAATTTCCCTGCAAAACGAAACGGCAACCCAATAACAAACAAAACGCATATAATATCAAATGATGTTAATAGTGTTTATGTATGACAGACGTTAATTTGACGGGCTGTGAAATAGAGGAGACATGCTCCTAATTGCTTAAATTTGCTCGAAATAAGCGCCAAAACGACAATCTCATATAACGTAAAACGCAGCCTACTCGCTCACTTTTAAATATTGGCCAAAAATGGGCAAAATCGATGGACTATATAAACCCACGAATTAGGCCTAACGCGCGCAACGCGCACCAGGTGCGAGTGGGATATGTTTTTTCGCCAGATTAAACTGGAAGAGGCAAAACGCCAGCGTTTCGGGTCATTTTAGAGGCAAAACGTCAGCGTTTCTTTAAAAGACTTGTTTTCGGATAAGATCACGGTGAATTAATGGCTCAGATGCCATAATTTGTAAACAAAAAATCTGCTGTGCCATATTATAGTCTGGGTGCATAAATCACATGAAAATCCTATTTTACCCTTAATGAATTGGTTTATGGCATATCTGATTTTATCCAAAAATAATATTTAAATAATTTCGTAATTAATATATTAAAAATAAAACGAAAATTAATTAAAAATATGATTTTTGTTTTCTCTTCTTTCCAATTCATGTCTTCATCTTCAACCCCAAACCTTCTAAATCTCATTTTTTTGCTTTTGTCTCTTCCTCTTCTTCTCCTTCTTCATCCTCTGTAATCAATTTCTTGTCTTTATCTCCTTTCTCTACTATTATTGTTGAAGTTTCAAAACTCAGTTAGGTTTTTATTTAGAGATTTGAGGATTTCACAATTTAGGGATTAGATTTCACAATTAAGGGTTTTTATTTAGAGATTTGCAAATTGGGTTGGTAACCCAATTTATATGACGATTAGATCTTTGCATATATAATTTGTTGAATATAGTTGTTGAATTGTAGTGATTCTTAGATAAATTAGAATTAAAACCAGAATTCATCATCAAATCTGCAGAGAAGGACAACTGGTACGAATGGTACAACTAAGAGATAAGAGGACAACTAGTACAACTGGTACAACTATGAGATAGAGGACAACTGATACAATTAGGTATAACTAAGACAACTTAAATAATTGCTGTTTGGAAATTCTTTTATTATAATTGCAAATCGGATTGGTAACCCAGGTTTATCTGATGATTAGGTATTTGCATTGATAATTTCTTAAATAAAGTTATTGAATCATAGTGATTCTTAGGTAAATTATAATTATACCTCAATTCATCACCAAATTTGCAGAGAAGGACAACTAGTACAATTAGGTATAACTATGTACAAAAATTGATATCGCACATAGGTGCACATGTTACTTTGACGGATAACTGGACACTTAAGAAAGTCAATATAGTCTAAAGGATTTTATTTTTAGCCGAGGATGCTTTCCGGATGGAAATAAACAAGGTACAACTGGACACATATGTACAACTATATGTAATTCTTTCATTAGAAATTAATAGTGATAAAAGTATGAATATAAAGCAAACATTCACCTAAAAATGTAAAAAAGTTGTAAACTATAAGGAAAAAAATTAAAAAGATGGATAACATGAAATTATCATTTTTCTAATACATATTATTGGTTTCACATCAAACACCCTTTATGATACAAAGAATTGATAATGTTAACAATCTTATGATGGAAAAGAGCCAACAATATAATTTTGCATCAATTATAATATGAAAATGTTGTAAAAGGACTACAATAGTCTAAAATCATGTGGACAACTACAAAATGATAATTTATATCAAGGGACAACTGGAAAAACTGCTAAAATCGCCAAAGGACAACTATGAAGAATTTTGGACAACTGGACAACTGGGTATAACTATGTACAAAATTGACGGCGCACGTGGTACTTTGCCTGCGCACATGTCCTTTTTGTCGGCACACATGTCTATTTTATTAATTTTTAATTGATTTTAATTATAATTTTAAATTATATACGTGTCTAAATGGATAAAAAAAAAATTATTCTCAGCCGCCATCTCACACGTGCATCTACAACTGACAACATAGTTGTACCTAATTATCCAGTTGTCCAAAATTTGTAATAGTTGTCCTTTGATCGATTTTGTAGTTTTTTCAGTTGTCCTTCGCCATAAATTTTTATGTTCTAGTTGTCCACAAGAATTCCGAACATTATATAGCAGCCCCATATACTTTGTGTTATTATTTTTCTATTTCTTATATTTTTGCATAGACGCTTGCATAAGATGGATAACATTGTCAAAAGACTTTCTTATAACATAAGGGCTTATTTCAAGTGAAACCAAAAATATTTGGTTCTTTGAACAAAACAAAGTTTGATTTTATTCTTTCTAGTATAAATGTGAAAAAAACAGTTTTTAAGGTATGAGTTGTATTGTTTTTAAGTAAATAATTTTAAGAATTTATTTTTTAACACTACAATTAAAATATAGTTGTCCCGAGTTGCACCTAGTTGCCCTGGAGAAATTCATAACGTAATTGTACCTAGTTGCACTTAGTTGCCCTGGAAAAATTCATAACGTAATTGTACCTAGTTGCACCTAGTTACCCTGGAAAAACTCATTACGTAATTGCACCTAACTCCAAAATAAATAGCAATGCAAGAAATTAAAGAAATCCAAAATACAATAACTCCAAAATAAATAGTAATGTAAGAATTCAAAGAAATCCAAAAAATTCAAAATACAAATAACTCCAAAATATTTATGTACACTCTAAGGCCGAAATAAGTTGAATCATTCATTCAGCAGTACCTTGTTTTTAAATTAAGGAGTTACAGATAATTGTATATATGTGTCTAACTGTACCTTATTTATCCCCATTTGGGAAATTTTTCTCTGCTAAAATGAATAATGTGGCTATCCAAAATAAAAATTCACTGGCTAAAATATAATTTTCTTAGCTAAAATAAAATCTCTTCGGATAAAATAAACCTGAAAACATACACAAATTAAGTTTCCATGCTACTTTTGCCCTGAAATACTTATCTAATTTATTATCTGTTTTTGTCTTTCGACGATGTTTTTTTGAGAATAGAAACCACATTTTTGTTTTTTTTTTGTTTAATTCGGCAGTAAAACAAATAATTCTTGTTTATTATCAAAAATACTCCACCTAGTTTCATTTATATGTGCAATTCATTCTTCATATAAATTATCTATTCCAAAGCTGTTTAGTTTTATATATCGCAATCTTCTTACATACAATATCTTATCGACTAATACCGAATAAGTTATCTGCTCGAAATATGAAGTATTAAATGATATAAAATCTATTGAATTGCTTGTGTGGCTGATGCTCATTCTCCCTTGAAAATATAATAAAAAAAAAATCTCAATTAAAAATTATTCAAGTTGTCTTAGGTATATCCATTTTTACTAGGTGTCCTCTATCTCGTAGTTGTTCTAGTTGTACCAGTTGTACTAGTTGTCTTCTTATCTCTTAGTTGTACCATTTGTACCAGTTGTTCTCTGGAAATTTGGTGATGAACTCAGGTTTAATTATAATTTATCTAAGAATTACTACGATTCAACGACTATATTTATGAAATTTTTCATGCAAATACCTAATCGTCATATAAAACTGGGTTACAACCCGATTTGCAATTATAATCAAAGAATTTTTAATGAGTAATTATTTAAATTGTCTTAGTTATACCTAATTGTACCAGTTGTCCTCTATCTCATAGTTGTACCAGTTGTGCTAGTTGTCCTCTTATCTCTTAGTTGTACCATTCGTACCAGTTGTCCTTCTCTGCAGATTTGGTGATGAACTCGGATTTTAATTCCAATCTACCTAAGAATCACTATGATTCAACAATGCAAAGACCTAATCGTCACATAAATTGAGTTACCAACCCGAATTGTATACCAAACAAGTAATTTTGGCAAATCCAATCTCTAAATTGTGAAATCCCTAAATCTTCAAATAAAAACCTAATTAGGTTTTGAAGCTTCAACAATGGTGGTGGGGGGAGGAGATAAAGATAAAAAAAAACTGATTGCAGAAGATGAGGAGGCAAAATTTGAGTGATGAAGATTTGATTTTGGTGATTTTTAAAATCCATCGTTGTGTTTGACGATGATGAAGACGAGTAAGAAAGAAAAAGAATAATTAAAGAAAAAGAATTTAAGGAAATTGTTGGT